TTAATATTAAGTGATTATGGTAATGAAGACAGAAATGTTATTCGGTAATGAGGATGGTAAGTTATAGTGATTGACCATTCTGATGACAAGTTTAATTGATTTCATCAAAGAATATGGGATTAACTCAACGTCGGAAGGAATACTGCTGAACTCCCAATGGTCGTCATCCTAAAAATTGTTTTAGATTGCATTACATGTTATGTGCTTCTTATCTCCTGCTGATATTGCTCGCATATCACTGACTTGTCGTTACTGGCGTAACTTAGCTGAAGATAATCGTTTATGGCGGAAGAAATGTGAGGAAGTGAATGTCACAGCTATGGATGAGCCAAGGTAAGTAGCAGTTAGAATTGCTGCTATCAGTTCACGGATACTGTAAAAATATATTAGCATGAAAAAGGGGCATTTTATGGAGACTTATTAAAAAAAATTGTTTGCAGAAATTTAGTTTCCATTTTTGCAGTGATCGAAAAAGTGGTGCATGGGCAGAGACAGCTTCAACAAGCGGTATTGAAATTGTTGGATATCGTCCTGTCCCCACTTATCGTCTTGCATTGTTTGCTGGTTATCATCCGCATTGGCTTCGGCAAGTTGCTTGGATATATTACGTGAATTACTCGAAACTTACTTGTTTATTGTGGGCGTTATGCGTTCTACTCTTGTTTCCAGTGAAAACGTTTAGGTGTTTGTAATAATCTCCATGATCTGTAACTTTGAATGTATTAAATTAAGCGAGAGAGATGGAATTTGGAATTTCAAATTTTAGAGATGGAATTTCAAATTTTTTATGTTCAAGCATAAATTCGTGATTGATAATCAGTTATTAGGCACTACATTTCATGAACAGTGGTGTACAAAAAAAATAAGCGATTCATGTGGAAAGCGATATTGGACTTGAACGTTTTTTTTTTCAGTGCTAGTCCCTAAATTTTTGTATGTCATTTATGAAAAGACATTATGACCAAAGAAAAGATCTCTCGTTTTGCATATCATTTGAATGGCAAAGAATTTTTAGGTATTATTCCGATACAGATGATTCACCGAAAAATGTTTGTTTAGCAAGGTAATTTTTTTTTATAGTTATTAAACGATTTAAAATTGAAGACTCTGACGAAAAGTGGGCATTTGAGTGAAAGAAAGTTTGAGTTGCTGCCAAAGTTTGAGTTTGAGTTTGAGTTTTTTTTTTTTGAGTGAAAGAAAGATTTGCAACTCAAAACTAAGGTTTTAAGATTCGATCATTTTTTCAAAAGTATAACATACCTTAATTTTAAAATAGATCGAAATGGAAAGCATTGTACTTGCGACATCAGCGTATCTTGGCCAACTGGCGCTACCGTCCGCTTCGTGGATCGTGTATTTTAAAGGGACATGATGAGCATGTAATTACATGTTTGCAAATTCATGGTGATTTAATTGTAACTGGTTCAGATGATAATACGTTAAAAATATGGTCAGCTAGCAAAGCAGTGGTCAGTTGTTTTGATTGCTAAAAAATTTTCTTGTAAAATCCTTACGAGTAGTATTTTATCTGCTATGTCAAAATTTTCGGACCAAAAATGATGTAATCTTGTTATTTCTGAATTATGATTTTGGAATGCTATTATAGGTTACTTTACAGTTGGAAGACTGGTAGTATCAAAGCGAAAGCACCAAATATATTTGGTATGGCTGAACTCACATTTTTTTGGCTTCTACTATGCTTCTGGTTTCAGTGTTTGCAAACATTAACGGGTCATACTGGTGGTGTTTGGTCATCACAGATGTCGGAAGATGGTAAAACTGTAACAAGTGGTTCCACTGATCGAACAGTACGCGTATGGTGCGTTGAGACGGGGCGATGTTTGCACTGTTTACAAGGTCATACAAGTACGGTTCGTTGTATGACACTCAGAGAGGAGAGGTAAGTCTTGGCTGTATTACACACCCTTGTAATTTCTTCAAAGATTTCTATTTGGAGTATTTCATTCATTTTCCTTGGACTTTTTCCTGCAAAAAGTAAACCAAAAATGTTAGCTAGTTTATTGTTTAAGGCTTGTAACTGGATCTCGCGATACGTCAATACGTTTGTGGAACATCAAAGATGGTACATGCCTTCGTACTTTGCAAGGTCATGTAGCAGCTGTACGTTGTGTTCAGTTTGATGGTGTACGTATTATATCTGGAGCATATGATTTCTCCGTCAAGGTTTACAGTTTTCAACTTTTGAATGAACATTTTTCTATCATTTTCAATTTTTTGTTTACAAGTTGTTCATACTGTGCAGGATGAATGTTTTATATGGAGATGGTTTTTAATATACTAAATATCTTTATATCCTTAACTTCCACACATTTCTGTTCGTTATAATAGAATTTGATTTTATGGCTTATTCGAAAATATATGAATTTGCTCCCAACTTGTGCGGTATTTCGATTCTCATCTTTGTAAAGCTAAAGAAGATTAATCACATTTTGTTAGATGTTGAGACATATTAATACAATTGTATTTCAAAGATAATTAATTTTTAAGGTTTGGGATGCAGAATCAGGTAGATGCTTGCACACTCTAACTGGCCATAGTAATCGAGTTTATTCATTACTGGTGAGTGAAATTGAATTTTCAGAACAGTTATGATTGTGGCTTGTTTGCTTCTGTAACATTAAGTTTAATTTCATATATTATTTGTTGTATTATATACCACTGTGCAATGGGAAATTTTATTTCATCGCCGTGACAGGATTTGCTATCTGTCACAGATTTTTGCATGATTTGTGGAAAGGTGATGTAGACCTGGTCAGCTGGAGAAAGTCAATGACTTGTATTTTTACAGTTTGATAGTGAAAGAGACATAGTTGTTAGTGGTAGTCTGGATACTACGATAAAAGTGTGGAATATTCGTGATGGAGTATGTACGCAGACTTTAACTGGCCATCAATCTTTAACATCAGGCATGCAGTTAAGAGGCAATACTCTCGTTTCTGGGAATGCCGATAGTACAATCAAAGTTTGTTCTTTTCAAATACTGAATTATAAAGAAACAAAGGTCGATAACCTGACAATTGCAAATATGTGTTTTCTGAAAAATTTCTGTAATTTCAAATTGTCTGAAATGATTTGGCTGACTGAGCGTTCCATTCGTTTATGTTAATTATTTGTGCTAATTCATATTTTATTTCAATGTTTATTTATTGACTATTTTACATACGAGCTTTTCGCTGAGTTGCTGAGGCGATTTAAAATTCTGCAACCTTCTTATTCAAGCTGTTTAAGATTTGGGATATCATGGATGGACAATGCAAGTACACATTATCTGGTCCTAATCGACATGCTTCCGCTGTCACCAGTTTGCAGTTTCTTGAAAATGGTCTAGTCGCAACGAGTAGTGACGATGGTTCGGTTAAATTGTGGGATGTCAAGCAGGGTATGTTAGCTTCGTTGGTTAGTAGAATTTGAAACCGTTAAAATTCAATTAATGCATGAAATACATGAAAATATCGATCCATTAGTCAATGTTTTATATCGACTGGTCAGGCAGTATTAAATATTATGGATTATAAAAGTCTCTACAATTTAAAAAAGTTAAAATTGAAAATTAAAAAATCGAAAAAAGTTCAAAAAAGTCTCCACAATACATTTTTTGTTGATGAAATTATTCCTCACTTCATTGTTTCATTCACGAAGTATCGGCCTCTATTTTTACTTTTTGAATTAATTACATGCTGTCGACAATTTAACGTGGCAGTTCAGGTGTGTTCGTGCGTGACCTAGTTAGGCTTCGTTCTGGCGGTTCCGGCGGTTGTATCTGGCGTTTAAAATCGACACCAACAATGCTAGTTTGTGCTGTGGGTTCACGTAATGGTACGGAAGACACAAAACTAATATTGCTTGATTTTGATGCCGATTACCCGTAAATATTGAGTGCTGATTGTATCCTGGGCAGTGTATGGTCCTTATTTTCTAGGCTTAATTCCGATGGATGTATGTTTCTTTTTCCTCTGCATTTTATAGTTGTCTTGCATCTAAATGCTTTTTAATATAATTGTAGAATTGTTTTGAATATTGCTACATATTTTCGACCTATTCCACTTTTTCAAATCTTCGGTTATTTCCCAGATGTGTAAGCGGTGTATATTCCAAATATCTGCTGTATAGAGTGCCATTTTGCAACTTATAAGAAGCAACAGTGGAAAAGGCTGTAATTTGTATGTAATCCCTAATCGTACTTTTAATTTTCAATAGATTTGTACGACATTTTCTGATGTGTTCCCTTCTTTTGCCTCTTTTTCGTGTTTTCAAGTTATATTTTGGTTCGTGAGATTATTTCCGCGTGAAATTTATCTCTTCTGACGGTCTTCATTTTTGTTCATTGTTTTAGTGCACAAATTTGCGAGGAAAAAGATGGACCAATACAAAGATTGGTTGTATAATTCACCAATCACTGTTTATAAAGTCAGCAGTTTAATATAGATATTTCTGGAAACGTAATTTATCGTATTAAGGTTTGCTTTCAACAAGGTCTTTCATTTTTCTTTCTATGTTTTCTGTTTGTTTTGCCTTTCACTTATATTTTCTTACTTGTTCAATTCTGCGGAAGGAAATATTTGCAATGAACATATTTTTATTGACAAAAGAAAACAAAACAAGTGGTTTATGGACATCTTTACTGCTAAATTGAAAACGTGTATCGTATACCGTTCCTCTAGCGGGTTTTTCACGGGGAAGCATCTGCCATAATGGCTACCCCGCGTCACGAATCTCTTTTACGAACACATTGTTAAATTGCTGTGGAGTATTTACTGCAACTGAATCACATTTAACCTTTGTATTGTAATCTGTAGCTTGGCTTTGTTTGCTGAGCAAATATAAATTCCTTTTTTCTTGAACAATCAAGTCTTACATCTTATCTGGGGAACTGCAAATGAAAGAAGATAAAACGCTGGTGAATAAACATCCTACGAGAACTGTTGAAGGAATAGATTGATTACACACTTCCGGACATGCAGTAATCAGATATTCAAGGTTAGACTCCCTACAACTTGGTGTGAGTCAGTCAGGAAGACTCAGTGGGTATGACTGCTAGCTCAGGTTTTCTAGTATCTAGATTGAGTTCCTCCACCTAATAATGTCTAGTTCAATGGTGGATAATAATGTGGACGGTGTTGTGCTGCAATAGATGTATCGTCGGAAGCATTGTGGAAAGTTCAAAAATTTGACCAAGGAGGGAACCCGCGAAGAACGGGTAACACTTAGATTGGAATGTTTGTGATGGTGCAGTTGTCTTACACCCTTGTCTCATTTGGCTCTCTCGGGACAACCATCAGGATTTTAGGCTATATGGTCGGAAGGTCGGCTGGAGAAAGTTCATCCTTTTGAATCAAAAATCAGTTAGTAAACTGAACAGTATCTGAGGTATTGCGTACCCAGAGATTTGTGAAGAATATGTATTGTATTAATCTTTTAATTATGCAGATTTGAGGAAGTAAGGGTTGTTTATCCTCGAAAGATAAAATCAGTCGCACAATCGTCTTACCTATGTTGTTTTTTGTGGTGTAGTACTGGTGGCGATAAGTTGATGAGATTTCATGATGGATGAATTTTCCTATGTTTCCAAAAGCTGTTAGTACATCGTACATTGACTTTTAGCTTAGATCAGCTTCAAAAGATGACAGAATATGTCCCTTTTTGCCTTTTTGCGATGATTGCTGATTATCAGCGTTTAGCACCGGCCAGTTTGTTGGAATAGCTCGATATCACTGTCGTTTTATTTTCATTGGATTTGATTATTTCAGTTTCGAGTGCATGGAATAACTGACAATTTCTTTTATATATTGGTGACACGCAATGAATCCTGTTAGTTATTGCATACTTTAGTTCAAAGTTTCGTTTGCTCTAGTTGGAAATCCGACTCTGAGCATGCGGTCGGAAACTTTTGTATCACATGTAGTACTGGACAGTATCTTTTCATAAAGTGATGGAACTTTAATACCTTTCCATATTCTTAAAAATTAATCTATAGACTGTTTTTAATCTTTTAAACAGAGGTGCAAACAGCACATATTGGAGAGATATTATTTAATGATGCATCACTGATTTTCAGAACTTGACATATTCCTATGATGACCAGAACATGTCGGAAAATTATGGCAACCAAGATTTTGCTATAGTTCCTGAGATACTGCCAAAAAATTCTACTGTTACCACTGAACTTAATATTAATCATGATCTTATGGAAACGGAATTACCTATTGCGGTATCTTAGTTTTTCTTTTTTTTTTTTAACAGTTATTGAATCAACTAGATCGTTCAGTATACTACGGAGTAATCTGGATGAATTTTCTTGCAGAAATTTGAATTTGCATCTGCTGACTGCCAGCAGAGGACATCTTCCCCTGGTCAAAGTTTTGAAATATTTAACCAGCACTTTGTTCGTAACTCACTTCTGGACCTTACAAATATTTCGTAAGTTAACTCAGGCAACTTCAAAATTCATTTTTAAGCTGCAGTACTGAATTTAATTTGATTGAGTACTCACTACATATACCACTTTTACTTTTTGTAATAACTTCTCTTCATAGCGCCTAATTCGTTATTGGCAGTAAAAAAAGAAAAAGATTCCTAAATTTCTGAACCATAAGCTAAAGAATTTTGAAAAATAAGGTATATTCAGTTTCTCATATCACGCGTATTATTTTTTATCAATTGAAATTTTACGGTCAGAATAATTTTATAAATATAGAAATATAGAAAAGAACTGATCCTATTAACTATCCTCTTTGTTTGAAAGTTGGGCATATTCCAAGAAGTGCCGTACCTATTTTTTTAGGATACCTATTGTGCGACCCCGTCCTGCAGCATTGCATTCTTTACCATTCGATCATTCCTCAACGGAAAATAGCTCTAAATGCTTGAAGTACTCGCAGTTCACCAACTCATTACATCGAGCAAGTAGGTTTTTTATTTCTTCAAATCAACATCTTTCCGGATATTTCTGGAGAAATATTTACTCAAAAAGAGGTAATATTGATATTTTTTTGAGATCCGGATAGAAGCCTTTCTTCACAAATTATGAGTGCGACATCGAATAAGAGTTGTTCAAGTGTTTCAAACGGATCAAATTATTTTGGTGATCATATCAGAACAAAGCAGTTGCAGTGTCAGCATACTAAACGGCGTTCTGCTTTCAAAGCACTTCAATTGAAAAACGTGCGGAGAACATCAGGCGGCGATAGTCCTGGGAAACTTTACAACTTACTTCCAATTACTCGGTAAATAGGGATGCATAGCATTGACAATTTGCGTAATTAGAATGAGATGCCTGATAATAGGAAACTTGATCAGTTATTATAAACTTTAGACGTAGCGGGACAGTTAGTGAACATAGCGCCATTGAGAAATGTCGCGGCGATGATGAGGATGATATTGAAAATTTGGAAAATGAATTCAGTTTCCGAGCGCATCTGCAAGGTACCAGTCGGAATAGTTTGATTTCCCCTTCACTACCGTCAACCTCAACCCCGAATAAGTTGGAATCTCGTTATACAAAGCGTCGTATACCGGACGAAACGGGTAGTATTGGAAGTGCGAAAAAGGTGAAAGAAGATGAGCCAATGGAAGAAAGCGACAATGGTAGGATTAGTGAAAATTTTGAAGAAGGAATGGATATTGATATGTCTGAATCATCCCTAAGGAGTCGAGACAAAAGTGCAACTGAAGTAATTTCTTTCATATTTATAGGAGCTTTGAAATTTATGTTTTCTAGAGTATAGTTGCAGTATTCGCCTGAACAAGTACAGATTTTCGTTGAAATCTGGCATCAATAGCGCATCCATGTATGGTTAGCAGCAGCTTAACTACCTCAAACAGCATAACCTATTAAACTTTCAGACGACTTCAGCTAAAGAAATGCAAACGATGTTATGAAAAATTCACTCCAAGATTATTAATTCATGTTTTTTCTTGGCTTTATGTGAAACACTTTGTTTAAATGTTTTGAAGTGGCTTAGCTGCGGTTGTTTTCAATCTTTCCCCAAATAATCACAGGATTTTAAGGATAGAGGTAATTTGGACAATGAATCTGAAGAAGGAAATATTTCATTTCCTTCAGCTATGTTTAATCGATCTCATTCATCAAGTTTCCTGGAAACCGGCGACAACAAAGAACCTGAACCGCCCTCTCATCTTGTCGTTGTATGTCACTCTTATAATCATAACTACTAAATAGGTAGTTTGACTATCAATTTGAAAGTCCTCGTGAAAGTGAATGCTAAACCAAATATCAAGCCGTGCGATTCATTCTGAAATCTATGTTAGCGCTTGCATCAACTGTGACAACAGGCATTCTGTATGGTATTTACTTCTTAGAAAGTGGAATACTGTTTCCGGAATGTCCTAGAGAACATGACATTCGACACTGATGGTATAGGTTTAAATTCTAGTTAATTAGCAAAGACTGAAAACAAAAGCTGTATTTTTCTAGAAATATGAGTTGGATATAATTAAAAATCCGGATGTTGCTTCAAGTGCTTATGCATGTATTAGTGCAGAAACTTTGGCTGATCTGCTCAGGTCGATGACAGAGGAAGAATTTTCGGAACGATTTATACTTATCGATTGCCGCTATCCGTTTGAGTTTGCGGGTGGACATATTCGAGTAATCCTTCCATTTTGCAAAACAATCTTATATTTCGTTACCAAATTGATTAATGTTTAAATTGCAATTTTCAATTAGTCTGTTTGGGATGTCAACCAACTCTGCTGACTGTCTGTCATACGATGAGGCGTAGGAATAGAACAGCTGAGATTTACACCTATTCCACATGTTGGATGTTTATTTTTTTTTTTTTTTGTTTCCTTTTTATTTGTTATATGAGCTATTACCTGAAATCGTAATACATGCATATAAATGCAGATTTAAACATAAAGCACTTGTAAATCTTACGATATGCATTCAAAATTTTTAAATCTTTCGAAATCCACGGTTATCTCGCAGGGTGCTTATAACTTATTCGATCCAGCTGAAATTGAGACGGTTTTTTATCCTAATAATATCGAACTGCGAACAAAACTAATGAAGAAAAAGCCGATCTTCTATTGCGAATTCTCGCAAAAACGAGGACCTTCAATGTACGTCAATTTTAAATGCAACATCCATGATAAAAGCGCAACTGAACAATGTAGTCCTTTATGCAGTATTGCACTGCTATGTACTATACTATACACGCTGAGTACTAAAAAATTAAGCACAAAACTTATGTACGACAAAACTCTAGAATCGGAAATGAAGACATTATATTGTTTCTTTTTCAGAGCGTATGAACTGCGTGCACTTGATCGTAAATTGAATTTTGAAAGATATCCAATGGTAGATTATCCAGAAATGTATTTGTTGGAGTATGGTTATCGCAATTTCTACTTACGTTTTAGTAACACACCAGTAAGAATCTTTATGAAAGATTTTGGGGAATAAAAGATTTAGTCATCACAATATACTTTTAAAGTTTACGATTGGTGTATGCAAGCGTTGCATGCCATTCTAGGTTTCGATAACTAAATCAAACAAACAGATATATATATATATATATATATATATATATATATATATATATATATATATATATATATATATATATA